TCAAGTAATTTTTCAATTTCGGTCACCAAGTTCAATGCCACTGAGTTTCAGATTGCGTATGTCAAAGGAACCCTTTGAGCTACTGAAAGTCTGGTGCAAGACACATTTCAAACACACAAAAGACTGTGAATTAAATCTTATCAAATAAATGTCATGACAGACTTGTAAATTTGACATCTTGTCACTCCATTGTATTAGAAACAAGAGGACAAACTGGACTACTCATTCTTCTGTATTTCTCAGTGCAATCAACATAGAATGAGGTTCACCATGGATATGTAGTTCTTACCAGACAAACCAACACTGCTATCCCAGGGTCAATCACGCACTGACTACATACTGTACATTAAATGATTTACATACATTTTCTGTAATCCTCATGGCCTCATGATGTGGGCATTATTAACTCCATTTCACAGATAAAGAATCTAACTCTAGCAAAAGTAAGTGGCAGGGCCAACGTTTGTAGCCAGATAGAACTAAAACTATTTATATACTATTTCTTACTCATTTCTGCCCAACTACTAGAGAAGAGATACTTCTGATATCATCTCTGATCATTTGCAGATAACACTTTTTGAGAGGAGCACAGTGCTTATGTATGTATATGATGCTAGACATGAAGTTATCATTGAAATTCATTCCTTCATTCCTCCCTCCCTCTCTTTCTTTCTTTGTGTGTGTGTTTGTGTGTGTGTGTGTGTGTGTGTATGTGTGTGTGTGTGTGTGCTGGGGATCTACTCAGTGCCTCGGGGATGCTAGTCAGGCGCGCTCTACTGAGCTACATCCCCAGCCCCCTATTCCTAACATTTCTTCAACAAATCTATTTCCAGAATATTTGTGGTTGGAAGCTTGAGACACGTTCTCTGCATCTTTTACCCAAAATGCCCCAACTCCACCTTTGCCTTATCAATTGTATGTATTGCCTACTTAAAGGATAAGAGTAAAATTAGTTACTTAGCTTGAAAAGTAGGTAACAGACTGCCTTCAACTCTACAGAAAACTTGACTTTTAATAAATATCCATCCAGGCTCTGGTTCCTACAGGGGTTATTAAGAATTACATCCTCCTTCATATGCGAAGGGCTTCACCTACAAGGAACCATTAGTGCTAATGGGTCATTTTTTTTTTTCTTCCAATCACTCCAAGGATCAAAAGGAGAAGCTGCAACTTTGATGAGGTGGTAATGGTACACAGGACTGAGACCACTTAAGAGTCTCCTTTGTTCTCTTTGTATGGCATCCCACCAAGGGACTTTAGACCACTATCTGCTATGTGAAGGGTTTATGAGGACTGTACTAAGTGGTGGTGCTAAGTGCAGCTTCAGTAATGAAAATGAGCCTAAGTCCCTACTTATAAAGCCAAACACATCCACCTTGATATGTTTGAGGCTTGCATGCTGCGCTGCTTGAATTGATATTTTTTTGCTCTTTAGTAACACAGGGGAAAAATTATTACTTCTCTTCACTGAGCTCTAAAAAGTTATCAGGCAAATAAGTTTGCTAATAGAAAAAAATATGTGTTGTGGTAAGAAGTGAGGAGAGGAAGGAAGGAAGTGCATTTTAACATTAGCTCTGTCTTTAAGTGGTACCTTCCCCTTTCCCTTTTGTTTCTTGATTTTTTTGTACTCCATCCATTGGGTGACTGAAAACTCTTACTGGGTACTCAACTGTTTAGAGCCCAGTACCTGGCACCATAAGAGAATCTAAAACAAATTAAGACTTGGTCTGTTTCCTCCAGGAAGTTGCAATCAGAAAGAGGAAGATTTAGTTGTCAAAATCATTGCATGAATAACTTTCAGCACTGAAGTTCTTCATCTCTAAGGCCCAAAGCAGAGACAAGAACTTTATTCAGTTCCCACCATTCTTTATCACGATAGGCATTAGGTCAGGAGCAGAGTTAAAATTTCCTAACCACTTTAGTTCAACACATAGACACAGGGAGCAAGCATATCCTTGCATTGATATTTGACATGTAAAAGTAAAATTCTCAGCCCACATTCTCTGATGTGCAAGAAAGGTAACTTGATTTTTCTATAACTCACCTTGGTTTCTATTTTGAGCTCTGATTCTTTTGAGTTAGTGAAAATATAATCTCAGGAAATTTCAGTCTCCTTCTTTCCCTGGAGTTAAACCTAAATTATTTGGGGAAGGGGCAGAATTTCCATTGTACTTTTGAGAGGAAGAGAAAAGTAGCATGGAGACTGGTCTCAAATATCCTAGACTCAACTCAGGTAGGTACCCCCTGATTTGCTACCAGGCCTCTTTGTTCTTGTGTGTGTAACCTCTTTGGGTCAGACCTTTTCTGCAATTTTCTGACCACTTGAAAATGGTTCTGTTGTTCTCACATCACAGTAGAGAATGGAAGGCTGTCTAGCCCCTAGCATGTCTAAACACACCATACAGCCATTTCTTCTAGGGGATCTTACTGCTGTGCTAGGTTCCCCTGGGGGAAATTCTCACAGATCTACATTATTCCCTTAAACCTACCTGAGATTTGACATCCACCAGGGCTCAGCCCTTAAACTGTAAAATCATGCTCTATTTTTGGTCTTCACCAAATGATTATGCACACTTAATCTTCTGCTTGCCCAAAGCCTACTTTCCTCAAATATTTATGCACCCTTTGTCATGGGAGAAGAGTCCTAAGATTTCCCTGAGGAAGGGACCTCAACTCAGGACAAGTGGGGTTCTTGACAAAAATATCAGAAAGGAATTTAAGGACCTGCATCAGATAGAAGTGCAAATGGAGAATTACTGAGGAAAGTCATGTTTATACATTCAAAGGGAAAAAGAGAGAGAGAGAGAGAGTAAGAAGCCATGCTCTGGCCTGGCATTCTGCTATTACAGAGGGATAGTAGTAGGGGCTGAACTAAAGATGGAGTCAGGGTAGAGTTATTTAGGTTCTCTCCAGTTTTCTTGGGGCTGCCCTTGCCCTCTCATCATGCTGCTTTCTGTGGCAAGGATATATGTGCAAAAGTGTGGGCTGGGTTGCTCCAGAGTTGTTCATTTTGCATTTCAATGAATTATGGGTGTTTTCTGCATTCCAGTGGTTCTTGGGCACTCTTTTTTTTTTTTTTTTAAATTCAGTATTATTTATTTATTTTTCTGTATCCCAAATTCCTATTTCAACTTGACTACTTCCTCCAACTTTATCTCCTCCTTTCCCAAATAGGGGGCAGGAAAGCCGTACTTTCCTCGTATAAATGCCTACATATTCTATCTCATTCCTAGAAGAGTCTAGGCTTTTAAGATTCAAATGCAGAAAGCTAATTTTGTGCCTTTGATTTATGACTCACATCCTTTCTGAGGCGACTAAAACACCATGGCTTAAAATTGAAGGGAGAAGAAAGACAAAGGAGAGAACGGAAATTTGGGGGTAAAAATCGAATAATATTTCAAAAATAGTATCCTATCTTAGACCCAAAACACACTCTCCTTTAGTATCAAGGAAAATGGTTGGAAGTCAATAAATCTTTATTTTATTTAAGAGGTAGGAGGAAAGGGAAGTAAACACTCCACTATGCTCAGTACAAATTATACAGGATCAATGACATCCTAGTGAAATATAGCTTTAGTTAGTAAGTTACAGAGACAAATTTCCCAGTTTCTAAGGGTAAGTGGCACTCAGAACAACACAGGATCTCTCTGTTTCAATGTACTCATCAATACAGTTCAGGAGTGTTGGATCTATGGTCAGATTTTATCCTGCTCACCGGTTAATAAGTCAGCTTATTCTTGTTCCAAAGATACTGGCAGAAGTCATGAGATTTCCAGGTTGGGGACCAAGGTCTCTGTTACTCATACCGTAACAAATGGCAGCATAACAGTTCTTTTTGTTCCCATATCTCATGAAGACAAAACAGAGGGGTCTAGTTGAACATAGCAGGGCTTTTCTGCAACAACTGGGAAAAATATGACAAGTGCCCTGAAATTGGAGAGAATGCTTAATTTAAGAGAGGAAATTCAAATCGCAATGAAAAGCTAGAGAAGTAGCTAAAAAGAGAATGTTTTGTTAACAGAATTTGTAGGAGGAGCAGTGTATTATGGAATTCTGAGGTCATACTACTTACGTTCTGCCATGATTTAGAGTTTACCAGAATCACTTAATTACATTTACAGAATGCCACCCGAAAATGGTGGGTAATCACTAACAGAAAAGAGACAGAATCAAACATAGATTGCACTCCCTTTTTTAAGTAGTGGCCCCTGAAATTGGGGAATCTAAAGATGACAGAGCTGAGCAAAATGTTCCATTACAAAATGCAGGAAAATGGCAACGATAAATGGATAACAGGTTCACAAATTCCAGAGCAGCATAAAGAGCCCAAAGTTGTATTATCTAACTTTAAAAAAAGGAAACACCTGATGAAGGACCTAATATTCACTTATACATGGACTATTATGAGAGTTAGTTAATAAACAGGATATACAGTTCAGGACAACAGGATTAGGAACAGTACAGAAGGTGTGTTGGCCACTAGAAAAAAAACTTGAGCTTCCGATTCACTGAAAGACCCAAGGTTTTCTAAGCAGACGTTAATTTAATAAGAAGAGTTTTACAAGAGTGTCTGTTATATGTTTTCATTCCGATGGGTGCTTCCTATGTGTTCTCCTATTTAATACTCATAGCCACCCTTCAGAATAGATTTTATTGTTCTGGGTTTGAAAATAAAGATACTAATGATCATAGAATCTGCTCAAGGGTTTGGTAAGTAACTGGTTTGGATTTCAGTGCTGGGACATGCATCCCTATGGCCCATGTTCTATCCACTTCCCATGTTGAACTTGTTTAATTCTCCTGGAAATAAAGAAATTTCTTCTAGTTCTAATCTATTATTCAAACATTTCTGTTGTTTCACACCCTTAGGAAAATAATGTGTCATAAATTTATGTTTTATTACTTTAACAAAAATGTCTCACTATTTTTTCTTCCTGCTACTGTATGCTTAATGTCAATAATATGTAACTTTTATGACAAAGAATTTGGTCTTCCCACAGGTGACTTGTATATAGGAGGAGTAGCTAAAGAAACATACAAATCCTTGCCAAAACTCGTCCATGCCAAGGAAGGCTTTCAAGGCTGCCTGGCATCGGTTGATTTAAATGGACGGCTTCCGGACCTCATCTCAGATGCTCTTTTCTGCAATGGACAGATTGAGAGAGGATGTGAAGGTACTAGATCTTTTTCATTACCCTTGAAATTATTCTAATTCCACCTTTAAATGAGAATGAATCTCACTAGCCAGCAAAATTCTGCTAACTGGTAGAACTCCCTCTTAGAACTTAGAAATTCTTATCCATGCATTTTAATCAACTTTTTTGTTGCTATGCCCCCAAAGACCTGACAAGAGCAACAGAGAAGAGGAAAAGTTTATTTGGGGCTCAAGGTTTCAGAGGTCTCTGTTCACTTGTGACCAATTACGTTGCT